AAGATGACAAAATAATAATTTATAAATTATCAAGGGTTCATGAGGGAGGGGCGAGTGGGGAGAGGGGGAAAAATGAGCTGATATCAAGGGCTCAAGTAGAAAACAAATGTTTTGAGGATGACGATGGCAACAAATGGACAAATGGACTTGGCACAATGGATGGATGTGTGGATTGTGATAAGAGTTGTATGAGCACCCAATAAAATGATAAAAAGAAAAAAAAATTAGAGTACATAAGGGTTAGAATGTATTCCTGGACTCCTAATTGTACTCACTGCCATCAAGGCAATTCTGATTTATGATCCTACAAAACAGAATAGAACTACCCTTTTGGGTCTCAAGTCTTTATGGGAGTAGACAGTCTCATCTTTTTCCTGTAGAGGGACTGACTGGTGGTTTCGAACTGATGCACTTCAGGTTAACAACCCACCATGTAACCCAATTACGCCAGCAGGGCTCCTCTCCTGGTGGTACAGCTCTAAGTAAATGACCTAAACCTTCTCTAAAGCTACTGATTCAGCTCTCAAATACACAGACTGTCACCTTCTCAAAAAAGCTACTTGAGAATTATTATATACTATTACTTGTATTTAAAATAAACCTGGCCACCATCAAGTTGGTACTGTTCATAGGGACCCTAGAGGACAGAGAAGTGCCTATTTGGGTCTCCAAGGCTGTAGTCTGTCTAAGAACAGGGCCTCATCCTTCTCTCAGACTAGAACTAATGACCTTGTGCTTGCAGTTCAGTGGGTAGCCCACTATGACGTCAAATCTCATTTCCACCTGTACTTAAGGGTCCTCCACTGTCAAAAGTTCAAGCAACAATATAACTTTTTAAGTCAAATATATAATCTATCCTGTATGGTTTCTAATAAATTTAAAATTATTTCTTAGTATGGAGCTAGAATGAATAATAAATGAAACCCCAGTGAAATAATCAAAAAGTTCTTAAATTATAAAAGGAAAAACCCCTTATCTTGGTCTAGAACAGAGAGAGCAGGCACTACATGGCCCCACATTAAGATATAGCACTGGTACTAGAACCACAGGGGATCCAGGGCGGTGATCCCTTAAGTGGTGCGAGTGGAGATACGGGGAGGGTGGAGTGGAAAGGGGGAACCGAACACAAGGATCTACATATAACCTCCTCCCTAGGGGATGGACAACAGAAAAGTGGGTGAAGAGAGACGTCGGACAGGGCAAGATATGACAAAATAATAACTTATAAATTATCAAGGGTACATGAGGGAGAGGAGAGCGGGGAAGGAGGGGGAAAATGAGGAGCTGATGCCAGGGGCTTCAGTGGAGAGCAAATGTTTTGAGAATGATGAGGGCAATGGATGTACAAGTGTGTTTTACACAATTGATTTACACAATTGATGTATGTATGGATTGTGATGAGTTGTATGTGCCCCTAATAAAATTATTTTTTTTAAAAAAAGGACACATTTTTGCTTTACTGTTTAAACCTCATGCTTAACTTTGTTTTAAGCCTTAGTCCTTGGGGGAGGGGGCTGTCTTTAAAGATATCATAATAAAGAAAAAATATTACTCTTCATCACATTAACAGTAATGTTAGACAAAAGTAAATTAAATCCCTAGATCTTTAGTTTGGAAATCTCTTTTCAACAGATGTTTCATTCAGGACAAATAAAAATGTCTTTAAAAAAGTTATGTTGGCAATTCTGTTACACATTTCAAAATTACCACTACATTATTATGGAACTATATATAATTTTATAAATTTCAGTGAAAAAAGTAGACAATATATGATTTTATTAATAAATAACGTGAAAGCATCAGTGATAACTATTTAAACATTAAATTCTTCTTAAACATCTTGGCTTTAATGATGTGCATATTAGCCTCTATGGCACCACAAATAAATACATGAAAATATTCCCATTTCCATGCACAGATATTTGGCTATAACACCATTTACAAATTATTATGGACAAGATAAACCTTTTCAATAATTTACAGTCATGTGGACAGCCACAAGTAAATGACTATTAAATCACGCAAAAAAATACTCTGGTAATTAATGATGCTCTAGATGGTTGATAGGTGGTAATGTTTTGCTTTGTTTAATTTCATTGTCTTATTGCTGTTCGGGGGGGTGTGTGAGCATGCAACTGAAAGCTGGAGAATACATTCTCTGACCACAACCAACAAGATGCACACACACGAGCGGTCTGCCTCTGGTCCAGGAGAAGCAAGTCAATGCACATCACCTTTGCAGGCATCGTTTCGCAGGGTAGTGGTGAAAACGCTTATAGACACCACCCCCAAAAGTCTGTCTTCAAGGGTAAGTTACAAAGTTTTTTAAAAAGAGCATTCATTGTATACATATCTTTAAAAAAAGTCAATTCCAGCAACACCAATGCTAAAAATGAAGTTAAGTTTCTTGATAGCCACAAAGTATATTTCCATGAGTTTACTATTATGTGCAGATTTATTTTCCTTAAGAAGTAAAATGAAGTTTGAATAGTACAGTCTGTGGTGTGGTGACATCAGCAACTGCCAATTCTTGCCCATCAATGAGTCCCAGTTCTAAAAATGGAAAAAGCAAGTAAGTAACCCATGTAAAAAAATCTAAGCTGAAAGGAGACACACACACACACAAACCAGAGTTTAGATACAATTCAGCCGTCTTTAATCAAGGTGATATACTTGATTTCTTAGCGATTTTCAAATATTCTACATAATGTATTTCTATTATTAATATCTTTAAATGTATTATTAATTATGATCATATAATTTAAAGCACATAATGAATCAATTGCTTTTAGGATATTTTAAAACCTCTATGAGCAAATCTTCTAGAATCAGCATGTACTTCTTCACTCCTTTCCCCAACCCCAAAGAAGAAAACTAATGGCAAATACATCTATTTAAATACCTTTCAATGTCTTGGAGAGATTTGGCCTTGTTCGTTCTTCAATAGAGGTTACTGACTAGAAAACACAATTATTTTAAAGCACATTAAAATTTAAGCTTTTCATGTAATTTCCTTAATAAAAAAATCAATACCATTCACCTGTAAATAAAGTGTTCTGTTTTTTCCTTCTAATGTGGCTGTAATGGCTGGAGATTTCATTTGCCTAAATATAAGAAAACAGAAAGGAAAATTTGAGGGGGGAAATTTTTCTTTTGGTTTATAAAGTTTTAAAAACCACCAACATGATTTTTACAATTTAATGTAACGGAATCAGAACACTTACAAAGAAGTACTATTGGTTAGGTAATCCAAAACCTCCTGTAGTTTAGCCGAAGGAGAAAACTCAATATTTTGAGGAAGCTGGCTACAGGCTGGGCAGTTTTCCTACATGTATAAAACACAAGTCATCATGATACCTGCAGCATTGCTCATGTCTTTGAAAACAATTAGAAACAAAAGTTTGCTAATCATGCATATGTCCTTCAGTGCTTTCTTACGCTTTAAAATCAGTTTTAAAAGACCTTTTTTTCTCAACTATTTTGCTACCTAGTATTTTATTTTCAGACTCTATTATAAAAGATATGTAGTAAATACAGTTAAGAAAGTTAGACAATAAAACCCTAAGAGAGTGGGCTATTGAGTTCAAATTTCTAACCAGTAATTAACACTTAAAAACACAATGTATGCGTGAACAAAAGGTTTCATTAAGATTTTACGAACCTTTCTCTCTGCTTCAAATGTGTATGTGTACAGCCCATCTACATCATTGAATACCAAGTAATTGTTAAGGGGAACATATGCACTGTAAAGAAAAACAATTTCTCTTTATATCATCGAATCAGTTCAAAACGTGAATGCACAATGGTGTCCAAGTGAAGTGCATTACCTTGTTGCTATCTTAAAAACTTCAGTGGCACACACAGCTAAAGAGGGGAGAAAACAAGTACTTAAATTCAATGAAAACTATTACTTAAAACTAGAAGTTCAAAATACAGACACACCTCATTTTATTGAGCTTTGCTGTACCGCATTTCAAATATGCTTTTTCACCAAATGAAGGTATGGGCAACCCTGTGCTGAACAAGCTTTTGGTGCCAGTTTTTGGTTTTTTTTTCGGTGCCAGTTTTACAACAGCACAGTCCCTGTGTCTCCATCACACTGTAATTCACACTGTGATTCTACCCTGTGCTACCTATAGAATAGTGTAATAATTTTACATGCACTTGGAAACAAAAAAAAATTCATGTGACTCATTTTATAGCGATGTTTACTTTACTGCAGAGGTCTAAAACCAAATCTGCAGAATTTCTGAGGTATGCCTATTAGAACAGATAAATTTGGAATCTCTTTAAATAGAACATCTGTTGACCTATCTTCATGGCCTATCTATTTTAATAGATTAAAATGTGTTTAGGCTTGTATATACACATTTTACAAACTGAGAAAGTAACACCTTTTATATTTAATATAATCCATGTGTTTCTCTTCATCAGATTAGTGAGGAGTTTGCTACATTGGTTAATAAGAAATAGATCTAAAGTAACTACTGTGCTGCCACACCAAGTACTGTTATCTACAACACAATTTAGACAAAGAGTATACAATGTCTAATAGCATCCTCAACTTAATTACATCACCCACTCTAAAAGATAGCAAATCCCAAGAACTTCAGTTTCTGACATGAAGTAGCTGTAGAAAAGCCAAGCTAGTGCCGAGACTGAATTTAAAACAAAAGGAAAAAAACAGCAATACGTGGTGTCCTTTTTCCCTCACCTGCGATAACTGCATTTGTGGAAGCTACTGCAGGAATGATTCGTTTCACAACCCCTGAAAAACATTAAAATACGGTCATTTCTTTTTTAAAAAAATGCTATTTTTACATACCTGTACACATACCACTTGCCACTAAGTGAATGAAAACCATACTAACTCTACAGGACTGAGTACTCCTGGCCGTATGGACCCCACGTCTGTCATATTTACAGAAGCAGACTGCCTCATCTTGCTCCTGACTGACCCTTTATTTAGATCTGAGTCTATACAACTACTTGCTATTATCCCAAGGCTCCTATTTTACCATAGACTATATAATTATTACATATTTCCATGATCTGGATTTTTTAAGTTTCAAGTTGGAAAACAAACAAGTTTAACCAGGAATCAATCTTTTCTCACAGTACCCTTATTTTGCAGCATGGTCAGAATCTTAAAAGGACGTATTCTTACACAATACTCAGTAAAGTGTGTGGAGGGCAAAATAATAGTTCCACACAAAGAAATGAACTGTTATCATGTTTGTTTTACTCTATGATTACACAGAATATTCAGCATAGTTCTTTGATTCTATCCCATTTATTCATATAAACATTCACATAATTGGGGAGTGAAGGATTGATTACTTGCTATTTAGTCTCTACTTCCCTGAGACCAGAAAAACTAGATGGTTTCTTACCATGTTTCCCCGAAAATAAGACACGGTCTTATATTTATTTCTCCTCAAGAAGACACACTATGATTTATTTTCAGGGGATGTATTATTAAGTGTGTACAACAATCTACATTCATTCAAATACAGTGAAGTCGTCTTCTTCAGGAACATGGACCCAGTGCTGAGTCAGACGGCAGTCACAGCTCTACTTCTCCCCCGAGGACACACCATCCCTAAAGCAGAGCGTCCTGCTCCTCACTTCACTGTCTCCCTCTGTGCCTCCGCTTGCAGCACGCACAGAACGACCGACCGGGACCGGGCAGGGGAGCCGACCTTGTGGATGGGCTGCCGCACCTCTCCGGTCCCCTCCGAGATAGCAGCTGTCACATTGGGGCGGATGAGAAGCGCTGCCCGTCTTCGTGACCGCTCCACGCCAGTAGGCTGCAGAGCCGCGCCTATCACCATGTCTTACTTTTGGGGTGTGGCTTATATTGCGTAAATGCTTAGAAATCCTGCTATGGCTTATTTTATGGGTGTGTCTTATTTTCGGGGAAACACGGTAGTTGCCACTACAAACCACTCTGAAAGGGATTCCATTGGAAGGCCCTGGGCCCACAAGTATTTCAGGTCTGGAAGTGAACTCAGCCAAACATCAGGACAGGTATGTCTGCAGAACAGCAACACGAGAAAGATGCAGAACAACAACACTAGGAAGAAACATCCAACCACTGGAGATCAAAACGGCAGCATTTAGACACATTCAAAGGGGCAGAAAGAGCTAGGAGCTGAGGAAGAGGCGCAAAAACAGGGAGGAAATAGGGTGAGTGATGCTACTTGGGGACTGGCAATCAACGACATGAACAAAATGTGTAGGCAGTGTCCGATGGAAAACTAATTTGCTCTGTAAACTCTCCCTTAATCCACAAATAGACATCCATTGCCAATGAGTTGATTCCTACTTTTAAAAGTCTTAAAATTAAAAATGTATATATTAGGGATGAATAAAATCACACTTGTGATTTTTTTAAGTACAAAATATTTTGAATTCATAATGATGTATAAATGATCCATTTTGGAAGACAAGAACATCATTGAACAGTTGCCATATTATCTTGGGAGTTTCTGACGGAGTTCAGGAAGATGTGTTCCCAACCCTTCAGGCAGGCAGCTTGTGAAAACTTCAGCAAAAAGGCAGGCAAATAGCCATGAAAACTGTTAAAGTTTTATGACTATGAGTATGTGTAGACATGGCAATGGGGAGACTGAGGGATCTACCTCCTAAGAATTGAACTGGAAGCTCTCTGATAAAGCAGGTGTAGCAGGGTGCACGCAATCACAAACCATGGGTAACAGAGACACTGCCCAATCAGAGCAGGCCAGCATGATAGCAATGGGCTCCTTCCCCCAAAGCTGGAGAAGACAGGAAAGGAGACTGTTAAACTTAGATCAAGGAAAATAACCACAAAATGGATAGGACTAATTCCAATTTGGCATCTGCACACCCTGTCAAGGTCTTTGATGACCAGGCTGAAAAGGGCAGACCAACCCTTATAAAAGATACAAAAGGATCGATGTGACCACATACTGACAAGAGTTCACAATTCCCAAACCTGAAAAACTGTATTCATTTGTTCATTCAAACAGTGACCAAATGGCTACCATATGCCAATCTAGTACACTGTGCACAGGAGCAGTGAAGAACGGCCCTCATACAGTTTTCATCCTGGTTGGGAGATAATGCCAGAAGCTCATGGGAAATTTTAGACACTGAGGGAAAATGTTTTAAAGTTTGTGTTAGAGTGACGGTAGGTAGGGGCAGTACATTAGCCAAGATGGTCAGGAAAAATCATCTTGAGCAGGTGACATGAGCAGACGTGTCAGCCAAGGAAAAGAGCCAGGCAAATAGTGACCTGGGGGAAGAGCATTTCTGCAGGGCAAAGGGAAAGGAAAAGGACCGCACTACAGTGTACGTGGGAAAGACTCTGCAGAAAAAGCGGAGGCTACTACTAGCACTAGCTAGCAGCCCACCGGGGCTCAGGGTCAGTCCCAGAGGAACTATACATTTGAAAAGGAAAAAAAGCTGGCGAATGACTAGAAATCATTTCAGGCAGGCTGATCAAGAACAGTTTAAGCTCACACCTGAGGGATCAGGAGAGCAGAAGAAACAGAGCATTGGAGGCAAAGGGATTCGCACATGGCAAAGCGCGGAGGCAGGAATGAACTTGGTGTCTCCAAGAAACACAAACAGCTGGGTGGGGGGTGGGGAGAGTGGAGTTTTCAAGTGTGATCACTGAAACATCGGGAGAGATAGAGAAATGCATCCCAGAAGAGAGATGGCAGGCTTTAAAAGGAAACAAGGCTCTTCATGGTGAAGATGGTGATGACCTTGGTAAACATTCTAGAAGGATGAATTGTGCACACTTGTACTAGGAAGCAGTGGCTATCGCTCCGCCTGTACATTATGAAGCGTGTTCACTGAGACATGCCCCGGGGACTAACCTCATGCACTACCTCTCACTCGTCTGGCAACTCAGGGAAATGTGAAAGACAGCACAGCGAGGCTTCAGTGGAGTATCCGGAAAGGCCTTTTACAATTCCTGAGCATGAAGGGCCCCTGCCCACCGAGAAAAGAAATGCTCAAGGTAGTGCGATGACTAGAATGAGATAAACTTCAAAGGGCCTACAGAGGTATGATTCAGATCACCTGGTGTTGGACAATTTTTTTGTTAAGTATTTTAGTCAACTGCTTAGAAAAGAGAGAAATACGATTAACAAATCAACTGGTGAACTTAAAACTGGAACGAACAGATAAATTAGTAGGCATGAAACACACCACATGGAAATTAAAGCTAAAAAATATAAAAGACATCATCTTGAGTTTTAAGATGAAATTTGTGAAAACTATGTTAAGAGTATTAAAAAAAATAGGCCCAAACTACCAAATCTGCAATGGGGAGATGTGGCTTAGCAATTGCATGTAGAGAAAGCTTACAGATTCTAAATACAAATAACTAAACTTGTACCAAAACAATTTTTTAAATTAAAATCTTTGCTCTTCTAAGACTACATCCGAATGCAGCCATCAGAAGCCTATAACCTAAAATAAGACCTACCCTAGCATGCTGCATTCTAGCAGAGATGTTATAGCTAAGAGAAACAGGGCTAACTGGAACAGCCCATAAGAATGGCTACAGAAAAACAACAGGATAGGAACCTTGAATCCGTACAATGGGACAAAGATTCAAGGTGCATTACTGCTTTCGGAAGGAACCAGTCCTGGAAAAGCACATAATGCTTGGTAGTGGCCTAAGGAGCTGCCTTGTGGAGGTAATGAATTTCATCATCTAGAGGTAAGTAAAACATGTATTTGTTAATGTTCATTTTTGAATAATTACATTAAACAGCAAATCACTTCATTAATCTATTTCGGTCTTCTCAGCAGGAAGACTCTTGATGAGATGGGCTGACACGGTGGCTGCAACAGCAGGCTCCCACATGACACAGGTGAGGGTCCCGCAGCCTGGGCCGTGGCTCCTCTTGTGATACACAGGGTCCGCAGCCTGAGCTGTGGCTCCTCTTGTGGTACACAGGGTCCGCAGCCTGGGCCATGGCTCGTCTTGTGGTACACAGGGTCCGCAGCCTGAGCTGTGGCTCCTCTTGTGGTACACAGTGTCCACAGTCCGGGCCGTGGCTCCTCTTGTGGTACACAGGGTCGTGAGGAGGAGGAACTGACTTGACGGGGCCAACAGCAACATGTAGGATTCTCCTAAATTTGGTTCCCTTTATTTTAGGGCACCTATATTTTCCCCTTCTACAATTAAAATCTCAAATGCATTGTACTACCTAAAGTTGCTTATCAATTTCCCTCTCAAACCATACCCAACCCTTTAAAAACAATCAATCTGAAGACATTAATGACAATTCACTAACTTACCTTGAGTGAGTCTATATGTAACACCCCTAATATTGTATTGTGATGCTCTCTCTAGAGATTTTTGGAAAATCCACTGAATATGATCAGGATCATCTCCATCTAATGGAATGCCTTCTGTTAAAAATTAAAAGAAAAATGAGAAGACCAACATATATTAATGAAATAATTTGCTGTTTAATGTAATTATTCAAAAATGAACATTAACAAATATATTTTACATAACTCTATATTATGAAATTAAATTCATTACCTCCAAAAGGCTGCTCCTTAGGCCACTGCAGCATCCTGACATACTCAATACAGTGTTCAGGTAGCCTGGGCATAGATGCAATGGTGCACATGGGAAAAGTAACCTAAAACCACAGTATGCTTTTCTTTAGTATTGTGAAATTATTTTAAAACCCAACTTCTATTTCTTATCTACTTTCTAACAATTTCTATTCATTCAACTTAGCCTTCCGCTTACATAAGCAAAACATTTCATATCACTGTTAAATTTCCACATTTGAATTAAATTTCAGGCATATAAATTTGACCCTTATGAGAGACCAAGAAAAGGAACCGGCTGAACAGACTCTCAAATGCAAACAGGTAGTTATGGTTACTTAATTTTAATCTGAAGTTTTAAAAATAAAAAACAAATTGGGTTAAATTACTTGGAATTACAAGTAAATTCCAAATAAATCTTCACAAAATTACAGTGGGATATAGATTAAAGAGCCTCATCTCTGGGAAGAGCACTCGCATACCTGGTTTTGTTTATTTCCCTGAGACAAATACAGGAGGAAACCAAAGACGGTAGATTGTAGCTCCACTCCAACATGGCCTTACAATTCCCCTGGACTCTATGTCGCCAAATTTTATAAACGTCAATGAATTACAAAAACAGAATAGCATTTGAACTAATGACATTTAGTCCTATCATTCCCCAAATTGAGCAGAATTTCCTATTTTATCTTCTTACTACCACTTTTAAAAATATGGCTATACCTAATTAAAATCCTAATTTTAAATCCAAAGTATTAATTTAGACTAAATAATTCTACCTAATTCTATCCTGATCTCATACGCAGAACATTGTTGATTACCTGAGGTGGATAAAGTTCCAACGTGCACTCAATACAGGCAGTCATTCCAGGCAGAATCACTCGGGCATTGCCTTTAAAACCTTCCGTCCCTCCGTCTATCAAAGGGACAATGGAGCTTGGATCTAACACACCATCGTCATAATTTAGAAGCGATATCTATGAAAATGACACCATAGATACAATTTCATGGAGAGCTACTAATAATGAGAACAAGAAAGAAGAAAACATTTTAAAACTCATTGTGGTGACGCTTGCACGCCTTTTTAATGTTTAAACTACTCAATTGTATGATGTGTGAATTATGCCAAAAACACTGTTAAGTCAGAAAAAAAGGACAAAAGATCTTAAAAAAAGATTTCCAAGGCACGTACCATGTGCTTTCAATAATTCCTCAAGTAGATCTTAACCCTTGAGTGCTAATGTATCATAAGAGGACTATAATTTTAGCAACTTTGAGCCTCACCTGAAAACCAGTGAGACTAAGGATAAATTCAAAATAAAAATAAACTCTGATTAAAAAAAAAAATGACATGCAATTCTTTAATTATGCCAAGAGCAGCATCAACAACTTCAGAGAGAAAATAAGAAAGGACTTCAGAGAACCGTAGTCTTTACCAGCATGCCATTTATCCATCTTCTGGCAACGATAGAGTCTAGTCCACATACAATAATATGAAATTCTGTGAGAAAAAAGAAACAAAAATCTTTCTAAGTGTCGAAAAAACAAAGCCAACTTTTTTTTTCTTTCATGATAGATTTTATTGATGACGGAGGAGGAAGTATAACTCAGAAAACTGACTTGCTCCACAGACTTGTCTCCACAGAATGATTGCTTGAGCTAAAAGTAGTGTTTCGAGCTCAACATTGTCACCTTGGGTTTTTTAAAAAAATTATTATTAAATACTTTTATTGGAGGCTCTTACATCTCTTATCACAATCCATTCATCCAACATGTCAAGCACATTTGCACATATGCTGCCATCATCACGTTCAAAGCATTCTCTTCCCACTTTAGGCCCTGATATCAGCTCCCCAATTCTTCCCCCTCCCTCACAAATCCTTAATAAGTTATACAGATTTAGAGGTTGATTCTTGTGATCGATTCCCCCTTTCTCTCCCCACCCTCCCCTAATCCTCCTGATATCTGTACTCTCATTGTTGGCCCTGGAGGGGTTTATCTATCCTGGATTCCCTGTGTTGTGGCTCTTGTCTGTAGCAGTGTACATGTCTAATTCAATTTGTAAGGCAGAATTGAGGTCATGATAGTGGGGGGGAAGAAGCACCAAAGAACTACAGGAAAGTTGTGTCTTTCATCGGTGCTATACTGCACTGATTAGCTCATTTCTTCCCTGTGACCCCTCTGTAGGGGGATGTCCAATTGTCTACTGATGGGCATTGGGTCTCCACTCTATGCCACCACCCCCCCATTCACCTTGGGTATGATTTTGTTTGGTGTCTTAGATGCCTGATACCTGATCCCATCGACACCCCATGGTCACTCAGGCTTGTTGCTTCTTCAAAGCCAACTTTTTATCATAACACACGCACACACAGCTCCTGTTGCTTAAACACAGAAAATGCTGCTAACTCTAAGGATTAAAACAATGCAGTCTCTTCTTCATCAGTCAACCAACTTACTGGAAATCAACACTAAAACAGACTAACGGAACTGGAAAAAAAAGCTTAACTGAAAAACAGAAAGAATTTAGTAGGAATTCCAAACAGGCAACTTACGTCTATAGAAAGTGTCGTTAAAGTCTTGAATCTTGTTGAAATGTCTGAGTGCAAGTAAAGGAATTAATCTGTTGGAGTTTGTAATTTCTAAAATGAATGTTAATGCATAAGATACAAAGAATATATGTATTCCTAAAACCAAAAAATGTCATTAATATTTAAAGCAATGGGATTACATAATCTAACAAAATGAAAACCTATTTCCAAACAAAACATCTTTTGTAAGTCACATTTTTTCCCAATCACTTTGGATTCTCTTACCCTTTATTATACAAGGTTTTAAAAAGTTCGTGGAAAAATGAAATAAAAAGATAAAGGATTGTGTTAGAAGACATACTAATTACTTTGCTTTGGCTACTTTTTATAAAGTCATCAAACTTTGCAAAGGCTGAAAACCAATGGAAGGGAACCCTGATGACACAATGAGTTAAGCACTACCCTGGGAACCACAAAATCTGTGATTCAAACCCAGCAGTGGGTCCTCAACAATGAGGCTTTCTCCTCCCATGAAGATGTAGTCTCAGAAACCCTCCGGCACACTTCCACTCTCCCTACAGCGGTATCAGTTGGCATCCACTCTGTAGCAGGTTTGGGTTTTGTTTATTATAATGGCTAATGATGTTAAGCCATTTTAATGTGCTTTTTGCCATCCTGTTTGGTGCAATGTCTCCTTGCATTTTGTAATTGGCAATAAATTTTTTTCTTTATATATTGTAAACGAGCATTTTGCCAGATATGTGATTTACAAATAGTTTCTCCTAGTCTATAGTTTTGCCTTTTAGTCAAAAGACCCACTTTTCACAAGAGCAAAAAAATTTGGTTTGAAGTCCAATTTTTTGACTTTTTCTTTTATGAATTCTTCACCAGGTCATAGGTCTGAAAAAAATGTGTGTTACCTTTTAATATCATGCTTTACATTTTCTATTTAAATCAACAATCTACTTTAAATTAATTTTGTGTAAGGTGTGAGTCAGGTCAAGGTTAATTTTTTTCTATTGCCCCAAGCAAGACCTTTTGAAGACTGTCTTTCCTCCACTGACTTGCTTTCTGCACCTGTGTCAAAAAGTAACTGGCCATACTTGCAAAGGGGCTATTTTTGGGTTCTGCTGATTGTGTCTAACCTCTGCCAGTACCACACAGCCTTGACTAGTGGAATCATCATAAATCTTGAACCTGGGCAGAACGCTCTCTCCAACGCCAGTGCTCTTTCAGAATTGTTCTTGGGAGTCTGTTGCCTTTCCCTAAATGTTTAGAATCTTGTTTAGAACTATAAAAACTCTTGTGGAGTTTTGATAGAAACTGTGTAAAAACTGAGTAACCGTTTAAGAGGGGACATCATTGAAGCGTTTCAATTCATAAACACTATTGCTTCTTTTTAAAAGCTCAGTATTTGTAGTTTTTAGGCTCACAATAGTCCCATACACATTGTTAGGTTTACATGTAAGGATTTCAGTGTCTTTTTCAGTGCTTATAAATGACACTGTACTTTTGTAACGGTTAGTTCAGTACCTGTAAGTTCAGATAATACATAGAAATAGTGGATTTTTGTTGTCTTGTATCCTGTGGCTTTGCTGAACTCACTTATTAGTTCTAAGAGCTTTTGCAG